CCCTCCCCACCCCCCCCCCAAAAGAAAAAAACACCGGGAAAAAATTCTGTTCAAGAAAAAAAGGGGGGGAAGATCAAAGTTGTTGAGCAAAAACAACGTGTTCCCTTTAAGAGTGAGTGCAGGGATAGGAACAGAGGAGTGGTTGAGCACTAAGACCCAGGGGAGTCATTGCTTCCCCTTGGTCTTTTTGCCATCAGCCATTTAGTGCTAGCAGCCTTGAGGAACCAGATTAGCAAGGGGTCTGGGGTCAGGAGTTGGGAGTGTTGGGGGCCACGAGGGACTCGGTGGGGGGGGAGGCCGGGCACTGAGTGTTTGTAGGGTTGCCAGGTGCCCGGCACTTTTGCCTCCTGGCCGGGGAAAAATTCAGAGAATACTGGACATCTCAGGTGTCCGGTATTTTCTGAATTTTTTTACCGGACAGGAGGTAAAAATACCGGGCTGTCCAGGTGAATACCAGACACCTGGCAACCCTAGATGGGTCTTTAAAAGCTTAATTGATTCCTTGCTGACATTTGTTGTCAAAAATGGAAATCCCGTGGTGTCCAACATGCTAGCCACATGAGGCTATTTGGACAGTTCAGTGTGACTAGTTGGCTTGAACAATGTGACTATTTGGCTGGTTGAGTGTTGCTAGTTCAGAACTGGTTGGGCACTATGGATCTAAACAATGTAGCAGTGATCCACTGAATAAATCAGAGCAGCATTAAAAACACCCTTTCTCTTGTCTTTACTCATTTTAAAGAAAAAAGAACATTTCAAAGTAATTTAAATGTATTGCTTCAGAGATCTCACAATTTTACATCTCACGTGCAAAACCTTATCCATGGCTTCTCATAACAGTCTCCAAGATCAGCTGAGAACACTTATATTGAACTGCAAAATTCATTTATATTTAACCATAAAATAATTTCAGCAACTAAGAAATCCGTGCCAAACTCATAATACCTTGGCTCAGGAGACAGTGGCTGCAGTCTGCCATCTGATAGTTGAATCTGCTATCAGAGGGGGGAAAAGAAAAATATTTTTAGTAATAGCAACATCAGGAGTCTTAATAATTTTACTATTTTCATTTTTTTTTAAACACATTTTTATGTCAATGCAGCTATGATAAAAGACTTTGAGAACTGACAGCCCTGGCAAAAAGCCATCCTACTTTTATCCACAAAATGGGTATGTCTCTGAATTACATCTGTGCAAGGTGCCTTACACTTAACCTGCCAATGTGCTCTTCAGACCTGATTATGTGACAGAATCATGGAGTCTCCATGTCCTTGGTATTTCTCAGGCTACCAGAAAGCCTGCAAATTAGTGACATATGTGGTAGCATTCTCTGAGCTTGAGATACCTGTCCCAGTAACTGGACTGACATTGCCAAACTCATTCTACACTGACCAATGAATAGCCACCTGGTGGTTACAACCCAGAGCAAATCTGTGACCTAAAGGTCACATTCCAGTCCCTTGAAACATTTCCCCTATGCCCATGCCTTGACCCAGTGAATTCCCTGCAGTTGTTTTGTTTGTGTGTAGTACAGTCATTATTCAAAACAGGCCTCTATGAATGGAAGTCTAAATCATTACATACCTGAGACCAACAAGCACCAGGAGACTCTTGCTGGGACCCTTTGTTATTTATATGGATACCCGATGGTGTTAAAAGAGTTCTATGAGTGCCAGTGTTTCCTACAGAATTAATTTCCTGCTGTGTAGTATCTTCTATTGCCTCTCCCACACTCAGGCCAATGTGGGAGTTCATCAAAGATTGAGACCTGTTGTCATTCTGGTATTGCTTTTGATCCACGTCTTCTTGTTGCTGCTGCTGTTGCAGCTGCTGTTGCAGTATACTTTGTGGATATAAATGCCTATACTGCTGTTGTGGATCTTGATAGAAATACTGAGGCATTGTTCCCAACTGTATAAGCTGTACAGGAGGAGCCTGATCCTGGGAGAACTGGTGTGTTTCATGAACAGTTTTTGGATCAGGATCCCTATGATATGTAGGAAGTTGCAGTTGCATCTGTTGCTGCTGCTGCAACTGCAGTTGCTGCATAACTGGTTGTGTTTGATAATACTGAGCTATTTGCATTGGACATTGCCTCTGTTGTTGCTGCCGACTTTGTTGCTGCTGCTGGATCTCTTGTATTGAGAGCCGCTGCTGTCCCTGTTGCGGCTGTTGCTGCATATAATATTGAGACTGCTGTAACTGCTGTATCTGTTGCGGCAACAGCTGCTGAGATTGCATTTGTTGCACATGTGGTTGTCCCTGTTGCATTGCAGAATGCATTTGTATCTGGGATAAGTGTTGCTGGTAATCATAATACAACTGCTGTGGGTGCTGCATGACTTGCATTTGCTGCTTTTGTTGAGTGCTTGCAAAATTCTGATGTACTTGCTGCGGCCCTTGTTGATATCTTTGCACAGTGGAAGTTACAGATTGTTGCTCAACTGCTGGCTTCTGAGATAGCAGCTGTCTCAGTGCACTATCACTAGCATTGTCCATCACTGATGACTGAGCATGCAAGACCTGAGCCATATTGTTCACTTGAATTCTTAAATTTTGATTAGCAAATACTTGTGTAAAAGAGTCCAATTTATGTAAAACTCCACTCGTAATTTTTTGTGATCGAAGTTCATTGGCTTGAGAATAGGAATATTGGTATCCATCAACAGATTCGCTCTGCCCTAATGGGCTCCACATTGAATTCTGATTATTCAGATTGTTCCTTACTGGGACATGGTTTCCTGAGCCAGAATGTGTCCAACTCGTTTGTCTAGAGGAGTCCGCTGACCCAATGTTTTTTGAACCTACATTCAAAGCTATGCTGTCTCTTGAATCTTGGGGGAACTGAGGAGAGAGGGGAGAAGCCTGAGAAGCATCCATGCCTGATGTTCCATAGCTGTGATTTAAAGCCGGAAGGGAGTTCATTTGGTGTGATTGGTAATACAAGTTCTCATTGCTATTGGCAGTGTGGTTGGGTTTGTACAACTGCTGGTCCTCCATTTTCGATCACCTTTCTCCTGACCTTATAGTCACAAAAACAAACTTCTAGACCCTGAGATATTCCAAGTACAAAAAAAAAAAAAAAGCTAGAATTGGTTATTATTCAGCTTGTTCATTTACATTACAAGGACAAATTCCTTCCGGTCGGCTTACAATTCCAATTTCAGTATGATGTTGCTTCACATCTTCGAAAAAACTAGAACACAAGCCTTAAACAAAAACATCAGATTCGCTATGCCAGGTACCTGTGAAGTGAAAAAGGAACAGTTTAAGTATATTCTACTCAACTTTTGCTGTTTCCTTCCATGTAACAACAAGCTAATGGGGGGAAAGGACATAATGTTATGAACAGTTGTAGTAATTGGGCTACTCCATACTGTCTCTCGCTTACTCGCTTACTTTTAGCTGGCCACATATAGTACTGAGGTAAAGACTTTAACCAGAGATTAAACTATGAGGAAGAGACTAGTTTCTAGTGTTCCCAGTCTGCTAGTCAGAGACAATGGATGCATATATAGTAAACTCTACTTCACAAATCTGTGCAGATATCAGAGATAGTTCTAATATGTCTGATGACACAGCCGAAAGGAAGTGGTGGCTTAGAACTGAAGTGCCAGCATGAGTTGTAGGGATGTGGGAAGATGGGATTCAGCATGATTTAGTTGAGTCTGATTCTGAAACTGATTCAGAATTAACATAATGGCTCCAACTCCACCATACAATATCAGGGCATGTTTTATTCCATACTAGCTTTATCAGCATTAAGGAGGTGTGAAAGGAGGAAGAACACGTCTGCTATTGGAATGAAGATACAGCATTGTACATGTCATGGAGGAATAATATGCCAGTGTGTTTATTAAATGTGACAATAAAAATCACAAGATTGGTTACCATTAGTCACTTATGTGTACACAGAGTCATTTACTCCTCTTCTACATGGACTTTTAGTAACTACTAAAACAAACTACGCTGTCCAAATCACTGAGTTGTAACAGCACATTCTGTCACAAGAAATTTCTTGACGTACACAGTAGGTATCAAGTTCTAACTTTCATTCTGCTCTCTTCCTTTTTTTTCCAGTTCTCCATAAACACCTTAATATTTTAGCCGACTGATTTCTCCTTAAATTAACTGATTTGCAAGTGTCAATACAATTTTGGGTGCAATTAAAAAAAAAGAAAGTACTTTACCTCAGTACATAAATGTGTTTTGAGGATGTTTATCGTTTTGTGGAAAAGAATGGTCACACTATCTCTCCACGCACACAAATTAATGCACAAGAATGTGTTGAGAAACAGTTAGAACAGCTATCGCACACAAGCATCTACACACATTATCGTAATACTGCAACTTTAACTCTGTCCCCCTCGGTCTTTCCTTCTCCCTAACTTAACTGCTTCCCACCAAAGACTGTGTGTAAATATCTTAGAATTTAATGACTGTGGGAGGATAGGCTGATCCAAGGGGCAGTAGTACAGATGCTGATGAAAACCATTTTAACTATCACCAGCTGCACATAAACAACACACAAAGTTTATACAATGTCGTTCATACATTTTTATGCCAGGTGCAGCCCATAGAACCTTCTCCATTGTAGGAACATCTGAGGGAAAATCATAGCTCCTCTAGCAGAAGGTTGTGAGTATGTGCACAACTGCACAGAAGGTTTGTGAACATAGTACATAAACTTTCTCTATCAGCAACCACTGGCATGTAAATTGTCAGTTATGACAAACTAGAAGTTACTCAGGTCTTTAAGTTTTGGTTTTCTTCATTTAAATTGTTGTTTGGGAATGGGTCTGGGGATGAGGGGTCCAAGATTCAGACTGCCCCAGGAAGAAAGGACTAATCCTGCCCTCTCTCACCGCAACAGCCTGGGGCCAGGTGAGAAGTACCTGTCCATAGCCACTGCAGTGGTGGGCACATGTCCCCCAGTTGGGGGAGACGGGGACGACAAACACACAAACAGATAAACTTTCAGAAATATAGTAGACAACTATCCCTTTCCCACACCTGCCCCCTGCTGGCCCAATGGGGTTTATAGCTTTCCTGGTCCCTATCTCTGGCCCCCTGCTTTCCCTCTGTGGTCATTTGGCAGTATAACTGTCTCCAACCAGACTCTTCCCTCTCCATGTTATGAGAAAATCAAATTTCAAGCACATCCAAACCTTGCCCTTGCTTTCAGTTATAAGAGGAAGCTGCATACCAAATCTGGGGGTCCTAGATCTTACCGTGTAAGAAAAGTTCTTGAACAAACAGACTCACAAATGGACAGACAGGTGCACATTTCTAAAATATATACAGGTTGAATATCTCTAGTCTGGCACCCTTGGGCCCTGGCCAAGCCAGAGAATTTGTCAAACCATGGGAGGTCAATATTGTCTAGTAGCATTACCAACACTTCCACTGCTTACTGGGCTCTTTGAGGGTACTTAGGGTAAGCACAGGGAACCTTTGAGTGGGGGCCACTGACCCACAGAAAAATCAGTCGGGGGCTGCACACAAGTGAGAAGCAAACAACCCCTAGCCCCCAGAAAAAAACCCTCACTGACGTGGCCCCTGACTAAGAAGAAGAAAGACACTCTCCACAATCCCCTAGCACACCAGAGCATAGCGGGGCCCAGGCTAGTAGATTTTGTGTGCTCCAGCCACCCAGGGAGACAGTGGGGTGGGGGAGGCTGGAATGCCAGTGTGAGCTCCCCAGGCTGTGGAGGGGAGCACCAAGGGCAAATCCAGGCAAGCCATGGGGCCACACCCAGGCCTTAGGTTCCCCACCTCCTGATTTTACGGGTACATTAGAGTTAAATAACAGCACAGAACACTGAGAGCCAGGACTGGTTGCTGTAAACAAACTTTATGGGACCATGGGAAATTTGGCCACACCCACGATAAGTGGACATCCAGCTAACACAAATCATGCCAGACCACAGATATTGCTGGGACAGAGTGCTGGACTAGAGAGGTTCACCTGTGGTAAGATATTGGCTAAGAGCAGTGTTCTGATGCAAGGGTATCAGAAAACACTGTCAAAAATAAGAGGTCTGTATTTAAGAAGTAAGTCTGAAAGTCCCTTATATATTACACAAACAACTTACCTCCAGCGTGGGAGGTGGGGCATGTGGTCCTCTTGTGGCTAGTCTACAGTGTCACCACACTGTCAAGCAAACATGGATTACTTGTGTTCCAACCTGAAAAAGTAATTATTAACTATTATATTACTATGCCAATTACTGAAGCACAGAGTGACTAGAGAATTCAGTAACTATAGGAAACAAAGCTGCAAAATGTGCTCTCATGTGCTTAACAAGTTAGACCATTCCTTCACATCTATATTAACACCAACACACATCCCTGCAAGAGCAGTATTTCTGAAAATATCTCGTGGCTTCTAGAACAAATGATTTATGGTCTTAATCCTGCAGGGTGTTGAGCATTCTCACTTCCCACTGAGGGGAAGATATGCAGTGGGATGTAAAATCCCATTTAAAAAGTTAACCAGTTATCTGGGATCCTGAAGGCTGGGAGATGCTTCAGACTGGCCCGGTTGAAGCAGCCCACCACCGAGGGTATGAAGGGCTTGGCTGGGCTGGAGTGCCAGTACAAGGAGCTACTCCAGCCTGGCTAAGCCATCAGTTAACTGCTTACCTGGTAAGCACCAGCAAGGGTGATGCTTACCGTTAATTTTAATGTCCCTAGTATGCAGCATCTCACAGTACTGCGTACTATATAAGACCAGCACTTTTCTAGTATGATAAGCCATTAATTAGACTCTAGATGCACTGAGGAAACTGATTAACTGAGAGACATTTGAAAGTATAACAACAACAGAGTTTACTTCCCCACCTATGAAAGAAATATAAAAGAATACAACTATTTTTTATATTTTAACAGTTCATGCCTGAAGGCTCTGGAGTGTCTTAACAATAGGACATCAATAACTACCAATGGCAAAATTGAGCCAGTACTCAAAGAAATCCTGGAACTACTATATGTAACAAGCCAGTGATTCCTCAACCTCTACAATCTGCAAAATACATTTCTGCAATTGACTATCAGAGTTCTTGACACTATAGAGATAGTCTAACAATGGGAGCATTAAACGTAGAGAAATACATAATTAAAGAGTAACACTTCCACCACCACTAGTTCTGAAAGTTACTTGGCAAGAGAAATATCTTCTTAAAGACTGTGGGTGAAATCCCATTTGAATGGGAGTTCAACAGAATTAAGTGGAAACAGGATTTCTCAACTCTCTTTCCAAACTACCAGTCCCTCCACTACTGGATTGCATAAATATTCTATTCTGAGGACCATCAGGAAACATTCCACTTAACACTGGCAGTCCAGAGACTATCATTTGAGAACCACTGTTATAAAAACACAAACAGTTCTATCCCAAGCACAATAAATAGCACATATTCCAACTCTCTCCCTTTCTCCATACACACACATTAAAAAGAAAATAAAGCTTCAGTCTTCCTGGGAAGAATGCCACAAATTAATTCACATTAAATGGGAGAACATTCCAAAATTGTGGACTCTCAGAAAAAGAGGCCTTGCTTTTCTACCCTCTCTAAATCATATTATCAGACAATCATTGGATCCAAATGTTTTAATCTCATTGTGGGAGCTGGGGCAGCTGGCGGTTATTTAGGAAGATGGTCCTATATCCCTCACAGTTTAATCTACAAAAGCCAGACTTTTAAACACACACACTGAATTTTTCTAGATGTATAAATAATAGATGGGTCACATTTATAGAGCTATGTAGCTGCTTGCTTGGTTTCCATTTGAATTCCAGAGCAATATATTAGTTTAAAAATAACTCAGCATTAAAACTGTGAGCAGGGAGGCTGGGGAACAGTACTGTATTCCAGTCAGGTCTCCGTTTCTATGACGTTAGTGGAGAACTGACAAAAGATGGTTGGACAGAAGTTGAATCAAGCAACCATATCCACTAAGCTGGGGTGGGCAATAATTTTTGACCAGGGGCCACTTCAGAAATTTTTGATGTAGCCCCGGGGGCTTCAGGTAGAAGGGGCGGGGCCAGGACACTTCTAAGCACTGCACACTCCTTGCAAGGAGGGGGGAGAATTCGCATGCTCTGCCCACCCGCAGGCCAATCAGGGCTTGGGGATGGGGGGCGGGGAGAAATTGCATGAAGTCTCCTCCCACCCTGCAAGGAGCTCAGCACTTGAAGTCAACCATCAGCTGCGCTCCCTTGCAGGGCAGGGACAGGGACAAGGAGAGAGAGACTTCACGTGCTCCTCCTCCCCAGGGCCTGATTGACCTGGGGGCAGCAGGGAGGAGCACGCAAAGTCTCCTCTCACTGCCAGGGGCACGGGTACCTAGAGGGACCCGCCAATTGTTCAGAACAGATGGTGGTTCTCTCTAGGGGGAGGAGTGGGAATTTGCGCACTCCCACACCCCCAGACTAATCAGGGTCTGTGGGTGGGGAAGCATGGAAGTGTCCTTGCCCCGCCCCTTCTACCAGAGGCTCTGCCCCTTCCGGGGCAGCCCAGGACCACTTCAAAATTTATCAAGTGGCCCCTGGTCAAAAATTATTGCCCACCATTGGCTTAAACCCAAGGGCTCAGGCTAGGGCTCTGTGTGGCAGAGCTTGTGCTCTCTCTAGCTTTGGTCCCCACCAAGCCTAACACCAGCCCTGGAGACCTCATTAAAATGGGGTGGCTATCCACTTTGGAGTTCTGATCCCCAGTTTGAAAACTGCCATTCTAGAATATTTTGAATAAGTAGGCTTAGAAGGATATTCAATTTTTATTTGCAAATGTAAGTTAATGTCAATTTCACCCTATACACAAACTGACAAAACTATTTCTATTGATGATAATTTACGATAGGCAACACAAGAAAAATGCAGCTGAAGAATTTGAGTTTGTTATGAGGCTGTGTCATGTTGACAGTTTGTCTTTTAACTGTTAAATCTTTTCTTGCTTGTTTCCTGTCATTAAATAATTATTGTCTTACTTCCCTACAATTTCCTGCAACTGTAAAAATGTATATGGATAAAACTGAAAAAAAGCTTACGCACCATATTTTTACATAAGTTTTTTCCTGCCCTACGAGGAGTGCCTAAGGCAGGAGGGAGCGTGCAATTGGCCTGCGGGAAGGAGAAGTACGTGAAGTCTCCTCCTACCTTGTGAGGGATGTGGCACTTCTAAGATCTCATGCTCCTTGCAGGACGGAGGCAGAGTGGGAGAAGACTTTGCGCACTCCCACCCCACCCCAAGTCCTGATTGGCCTGGGGTTAGGGAGAGTGACAGGGCCTCTGCGGGCCAGATCATCTTGCTTGGTGTGCCGGATCCAACTTGCCAAGGCCCTTTTGCCCACCCCTGCATTAAACCATAGAGTTAGGAAAGTAAAATAAAGACCTAAAATGCCCCAATGTGCTGCATGGCTCTCAATCAAAATGTAATCAGATCCTATGTGTTATGTACCATATTTTGCACCTCATTTCAGGCTTGTCAGCAGTCATATTAATCAAATGTCTACACTGTTTTATAGATGTGATTTCTCATAATTAGGAATTATTATGAAAGAGAGGACTGGAACACACTATCCAATTCCATGCTTTCGAAGACAGATTTTAAAAAAGGGCCTCCATGCTGGACAGGATCTGCAGGATTAATCTGGTATTCTTATTTAATTTCACTGACAAGCACTAGAGTTTTAAAGATTGTAAATTCTTTGGCGCAGAGACTTTCTGTATTTTGCCTTGTATAATGATAAACATACTATCATCATTTAAGAAACAATAAAAATAAGTTAAGACTTCTCTCAGTAATCCAAACAATATTTGTACAAAACATATATCAATAAGTTGCTGTATATAGAAGAAGTTGTGTGTAAAAGGTGCTTCCTTGCACTATATTGTCCCTAAACTAGAAATACTTCACTAATGTGTCTTGTTCATACTTCAGTACCCTTCAGTCCAACAGAAGGAGATAGTGTTCTTGTTTCTGGTATTGGAATATGAAGCTTTTATCTGTATAATAAGATTCCAGAATTGTCACCATGTTTTATTCTGAAGTTCAGAATGGCTAGAGTCAATGCGAAGCAATGGAAACAGCTAAAACAGGGTTGAAAGCTGCGTAAAATATTACGGCGCTCACAGCTGTTCAAAAGACAACTAGTTGCCACTTTTCTGAATGGCATGGAGGGAGGTGGGGCAGGCCCGGAGCCTGCCTGAGGTGAGGTAAGGCTCCCCTTTCCTCCCGCCCCCCCCCCCCTCCCGCTGCATCTGCAAGCTGGATCCTGCGGTTTGGCGGGCCATATTCGGCCCTCAGACTGTATTTTGCCCAGCCCTGCCTTAGCAATTCACAGATTTATTAGGGCATACGCTTTTGTGGGTAAAATTCAATGTATTTCCACATCAGCTTCTATGAAAGACCCACATATATATTAAACTATGAAAGAAAGAAGTTCCTTATCAAGTGTAGGACCAGTATTAATGAGGCTAATCAAGTCAGGGTAGATGTGGTTCTCCCTACCTCTCTAATTTCCACCCAATTCATCTGATGAAGTGGGTTTTACCCACAAAAGCTTATGCCTTATTAAATCTGTTAGTCTCTGTGGGTATGTCTAGACTACTTGCCTCTGCCGAGAGAGGCATGTAAATTAGCCCACCCGACATAATCAATGAAGCAGAGATTTAAATATCCCTGGCTTCATTAAAATAAAAGTGGCAGCTGCGCTGTGCCGGCTCAGCTGATCACCAACACAGCGTGGCAGTCAAGATGAGGATCGGTCCACAGGGGAAGCCTTTGTTGACCGCTCCCTTATGCCTCGTGAAACGAGGTTTACAGGAGCAGTCGACAAAGGCTTCTCCTGTCGACCAATCTATGTCTTGACTCACACGCTGTGCTGATGATCAGCTGAGCTGGCACAGCGAGGTGGCCATTTTTATTTTAATGAAGCCAGGGATACTTAAATCCCAGCTTCATTGACTATGTTGGGTAGCCTATTTTACATGCCTCTGTTCACAGAGGCATGTAGTCTAGACAGACCCTAAGGTGCCACAGGACTCCTCCTTGTCATTTCAATACTATATATTTCCTGACCATTAAAATGGGAAACAGATTTCTTTCTGTCCTTAATAGTCCTTCATGATGGCTGTTAGAACTGGGTCCTGTGCAACACACCATCTAAAGGTTTAGATCGCAACACA